ACAGCACGGCTAACCCCCCGGCCTCGGAATCGCACTTGAGGCTGAGCCTCGGGCCCTGGAGGGACCAACTCGGCCGCAGGCTCCTGCGCATCCCCCAGCGCGCCTCAACCACGGCTTCTGGGGCGACATCCGCTGAAGGATCTCCAGACGACGGGGGAAGGGGGTTACTGCGGCGCGCAGCGTAACGCCAGGCCTGGTGGGCGTCTGCGAGCTGTTTTTTCACACCAGAAAGTGAAAACATACGGAAAGCTCCAGCACTACCCGCGCCGGGACCCAGGCACCCCGCGTTCCCCAGCTTCCGTCACCCGGCAAGTCCTTCCGGCTCACCTCGGCGCGGCGGCGGGCCCAGCGCGCGAGGAAACCCAGAAAGAAGAGCACCCCAGATGAACGCGAGTTAAGGAGCGGGCCTAAGCAGCAGTGGGAGAGGCCGAGCGCAGGCACGCCCGCCTCGAGTCTTCACCAAACCAAGTCCTCAGTCGCCGGGCAGAAGGCTCCGCGTGCTGTGGCCGCCGCCTCCCGGCGTGCGCCTGCGCCTGCGCCTGCGCCTAGTTTCCCGGAAGCGGCGCGGCCGCCCCACCCAGCCGGGGTCCGGGGTAAATAAACCCCGCGGCACTCGGGCGGGGCAGCTGCGTTCCGTAGCGTCCGCCTTTGCAGTCTTTGACTCCCTAGAAAAGGGGAGGGACCTCCTAGGGCGCAGAGCCGGCACAGTCCGGGCCCTAAAGCTGCCAGCTCCCCTCCTCCTCCCTCGGTCCTTCGACCCTCGCCACGCCCCGGGGCCCGCATCTCGCCCTACCTGGCAACCTTTCCCTCCGCCCCGCCCCGCCCCTCCCCACCCCTCCCTACCCGTCCCTTGGTTGGCCAGGGCCTGGCCTCGCCCCACCTCACATGCTTGAGCCTAGCTTCCGAAGTCCTAGCGTTATAGAATTCCAAATCCTTCCTGGATATGGAGCTCAGTTTCTGCCCACCCACGCCCCATTAGGCTTAGTGACTTGCTTCCCAAGAGTACAGTATGGAGAGGGAAGAAAATTAACTCCAGTGCAGAAACCTGGCAAATACCGCCTTGGTCAGGTGATGAGGATTAATAATGATAAATCATGTTAGTAGCGTGCTCCCCAGATGTAAGAAGGGTACTTCACCTCTATTGTATTCCTCCCCAAAACCCATAACCCCAATTCTTATAGAGAAGAATATAAGACAAACCCAAAAACAGCTGATCGTGTAATCTGTCAAAGTTCATGAAAAACAAGCAAACTCAAAATCTCTCATAAACCAAAAAAAGAAAAAAAAACTAAGGCGACATGACAGTTACATGAAATGTGATATTCTGGAGGGCGTCCTGGAATAGAAGAAAGCTATTAGGGGGAAAGCTAGTAAAATCCATATAAAGCACGGAGCTTAGTGAATACTACTATTCCATGTTGCTGTTTTACTTGTGACAAATAATAGTAAGATGTTAATAATAGGGAATTCTCTACCATATTTGCAACTTTTTAGTAAATATATTCTAAAATTAAGTTTATTGAAAAGTAAAGGGGGTATAGGGGCCCGCTGGGTGGCTCAGTCAGTTAAGCATCTGACTCTTAATTTCAGCTCAGGTCATGACATCAGTGTCATGAGACTGAGCCCCACATTGGGCTCTGCACTGGGCATGGAGCCTGCTTAAGATTCTCTCTCTCCCTCTCCCTCTGCCCACCCCCACCACTCTAGCACACTCTCTCTCTAAAAAAATAAGGAAAGAAAGAAAAGGGGGGACTGGAAATAGTTCGTTCCAGATTTGGACCTATGATTCAAGGCTGTCATCAAGGATCAAGGCTCTAATTTTCCACAATGCCATTCTTAGGGAGTTAGCTATTCACCTGTTAGTTTGTTCTTCGTAGTGTCAAGACAGAGTTGCTGCACCTCCAAGCATCACGTTCTCACACAAATGAATTCAAGACAGGAAGAAAGGGATCTGAAGAGAGAAGTATTTTCCTTTATGAGGGAGGAAAATAATGCATACTCCCATTTTCTAGATGGGAATTGGCAAAGAGTCTCTTCTTGAGCAAACTCTAGCCAGGCTCTTCTGAGCCTTCCTCTGAACTAGACCTCAGTCTTGGCCTATAAAATCTACATACTCAATACACTGATTTCATCCCCCTTCCCACACATACACATTAAAATTATATTTTTTAAAAAGCGAACGCTAACATAGTTTCTGATAGCTCAAAGCTGCAACCCTAAGATGACCCTCGCCCTCTGTAACACACTCAAGGCTGCCAAAAAGAATTTACTATTTGTTTTAGCCAACAACTGATAATAAGCCCTTCACCACCTTTTGTTAGAGCATTTACTAAAAAGGGTTTATAATTTGTGAATCCTTCCTCTGTCCAATTGAGGTATATATCTACCTCCTACAACTCAGTAGTGTCTTTCTCAAGGATTTGAAAGCCATTCCTTTGAAATATAATCATCAGAAAAGATAGGGCCTCTGTCTCCCAGTCTCTGTGTAGCCCACACAGCTGGCCTAATGACATTTACACTGACCCACTCTTTATAATTTCTCATTTCCCCGACTCTACTCAAGCCCCTCCATTCCCCCTCCCTACTCCCTCATTCTCCCCTTAAAACTATCAGCCACCTCTGTACAAATCCAAGTTTGAGTTCAGTTCATGCTGGACCCACTTCCCTATTTCAGTAGTATATTGCTGATTAAAATCTCTCCTAAACACATTAAACAGTGTCCAGTGTTGTTTATCTTTGACAAAATTAAGTAAATTGCTTGGAGTTGCCTATCTACTAAGCATCTCAGCCACAATTTGATTCTGGGAATCAAAATCCATGCTCCACCCTTTTAAGAAGGCTTATTGAACATCCTAAACAAGCAAAATGTGTAAGAAGAAAAGCCAGTGCCAAGTGGAGCTCTATGAGTATAAATAATCATGGGCAAGAGAAGACCCTGAGAGCTTAATAACTTGTCATTTAACAGTGCTGTTTTCCCTACATCTTTTATGTTAATAGACACCATAGAACTGGGTCCTCTCAGGCAAATAAAATAACTGCTTTGAACCAGTGCATAGTAAAGATGTGAGTTTATTCCACAAGGTAAAAGATGTGATAAACATTCTTTCTCCATCTAGCAGCCAGGATGATCTCAGAGTTGACTCACAGCTAAGCAATATCTTCCAAGCTAGCTAGTACTAGCAGAGATCTGGGGCCTCCATCTTTACTATTTTGTTTCATTTCTCAAGTTGTTCAGAGGTCAGACAAGGTGCTATGTATGGAAAGTCGTAGGGGCTTCACAAACACACAGCCAGGGTCAAGACCCAAATTTGACAGGAGAAAAAAATTAAAAATCATGCAAATAGAGCTTAATTCACTGGCTTTAAATTAGCATGCTTTTCAAAAAAAGTTTCAAAACATTTCCCATACTCCAATCTATCCTTTCCTTTGTGATTCTTCACTGTTCTTATGCTTACAAAGTCCTTTTCCCACAAATTTTTGTTATAGTTTCTTATACTTGTTTTATGGTTGCATTTATAAAGCTGTAAATTTAAAAGTGAGAAAGCACTTTTTTCTCTTTTTAGATATTAACTGATGACATTATGCAATTATCACTCCCTTTCCTCAGTACCATTTTTGGAATAATTCCTTCTTACCCCCATAATTGTTAACACTACTTTCATCATATGCTAAATTCTTATTTCCCTGTGATATTTTATGTATTGTATTTTCTTGAGTGTCCTGCCTCATTGACCTGTCAAGTGTTGTGTTGGGATCAGTACTGAAAGGATAAACAAATCAGGCAGAAAATATAATTCATGGCCCTTTTGGAATTTGCCTTTTGAAACAGCAGGCCCTCACCATGCCCAAAATTTCCTGCACACCATATGCTATCTGTGAATGGCTCTCAGTGAATTTAATAACATTAGCTCACCCAGCTATAGAAGAAAGTAGCGAGTGGTGTGGAGAGAGGCCAGCAAATGACAGACCAAGTATACACTTGGATAAAAGAGGAAAATGCAAAACAAAGATCTTAGTTATATCTTGAGTGGAAAAAAAGTCCCCAAAGGTTGCACTGCACAACTCCATCTATGTAACATTTTTAAAACAATTTTTAAAATGAGGAACAGATTACTGGTTCCCAGGCAGTGGGAATGGGGGGTGGGGGGCAAAAGAGATATGTTTGGCTATAAAAAAGCAACACTGGGGGTCCTTGTGCTGATGACTGTAGTGGTGCATAGACAAACCTATATGTGGTAAAATTGTATAAATCCAAATATAAACAATAATAAGTACTAGTAAAACTGAGGAAATCTGAATATGATTGGTGGATTGTTTTGATGTCAATATCCTCATTATGATATTGTACTATAGTGTTGCAAAATATTACCATAGAGGAAAACTGAGTAAAGTATAAGGAATCTCTGGGGTTTTGGGGTTTTTTTTAACTACTACATGTGAATCTGCAATTATCTCAATAAAAATTTAGGTCAAAGAAAGCAAAGGTCTTTCCCAGAGTGTTAGTTTTGTTTTTTGCAACTGCTTGGAAACCCACCTTAAATTGCAACATAATTGGAATCTATCTAAAGCATTGCTTGTAACTTTCTATTGTGACAGAAATACTATAGATCTGCACTGTCCAATACAGTGTCCACTAACACATGTGACTACTGAGTGCTTGAAATATAACTAACGCAACTAAAGACTGAATTTTAAAATTGTATTATTTCTATTAAATTTATGTTTAACTAACCCTAGTGGCTGTGGCTCCCATGCGGGACAGTACACAAATGAGATTTGATTTTATAGTCCCCTATTCCTCTGTTGTAAATAGGAAATAAGAGGAAGAAAAATCATTTCCTAACACTGAACTAATTTACGAAATTTCTGAGGATCCATTTCCTCACTTTAAAGTGGGGAAAATAAGACGGACCCTGACGAGTTGTTTTAAGTTTGAGAAAGGGCTTCAAAACCCTCCTCCCACCTGTACACCACAGGGCTTGGATATAAGTAGGGCGTCCCGCACACAGCCATGTCGTCAGCCACCCGCGTGGCGCTGGTGACCGGGGCCAACAAGGGCATCGGCTTCGCCATCGCGCGCGACCTGTGCCGGCAGTTCTCCGGGGACGTGGTGCTCACGGCGCGGGACGAGGCGCGGGGCCGCGCGGCCATGCAGCAGCTCCAGACCGAGGACCTGAGTCCCCGCTTCCACCTGCTGGACATCGACGACCTGCAGAGCATCCGCGCCCTGCGCGACTTCCTGCGCAAGGAGTACCGGGGCCTGGACGTGCTGGTCAACGACGCGGGCATCGCCTTCAAGCGTAAGGGGATGGCAGCTAGAAGGGGAGGTGGACCTCCTGAGCGCCTCCAGCCCGGGTGGGCTCCGTCTGTTGGGGAATCCATGCGGTCCGGCTCCTCAGGCCTGGGGCATCAAACTGGCTCTTTAGGGCAGGAGGAGGGATGGAAGGCCAGGGGTGGGGCTCAGGCAGAGTCCTGCAGAAATTGCAGTGCTTATCAGCCAGAGGGACCTTTGTGCTTCCTCCGATTCCCGGGGATTTTTTTCGAGAGTGTCAGTGAGTTTCTCTCATTGGATTTTAAGGCAACTGGGTTATTTTTACTGAATTTTGAAATAAACAAGAAAACTGCACAAATTGGTTAACAAGAAAGCCAATGTGGCCACCAGCCCTTCACCCAGCCTTCCCCAGTGGTGCCATCTTATACCACTACAGCATTATCAAATGAGAAAATTGTCAGGGTCACAAGACTGTAAACTAGATGCCATTTTTACACAAAATTCACCAGACTTCACATGCACTTTTTTAACATACATCATTCTGTGGAATTTTCCCACAAGACTACTATTAACGCTACTCTCCTCCTCCCCTAACAGCTGTTGATCCCACACCGTTTCATATTCA